TATAGCATTACCGTCCAATAATGACTGTCTCTTTCAGCTGAGCAGAGAAGAAAGGGGACCTTAAAAAGCACAAACGGTTTCTCGTCAACTGTTGACTTAGCTGGCTGCATGGTTCACAATTATTTTAAAAGAAAACAATGAAATAAACGCCAGCGAGAAACAAAAAAAACAAACAAACAAAAAAAAACGATTCGTGTCATTAACATCAACTTTTGCCAACATTAGCTGAGTTTCTGGTATATTACAGAATATTGTTGATTTTTAGAGTATGCGAGAAAATGTTTAGTTGAAAAGAACGATGAAATAAAGCGGAAAAATATGATCCTGATTACGAACTTGAGTCGTGCATGGGTGCAGGTGAATTATCTGTTTTCGATGGAAGCCCATTAGAGGTTTCGTTTCAATCAGCCAATCACTGCATTATCTCTGCTTTCTCTTCATTCTAAAATTAACAATTATCCATGCAAATGTTGTCTAAACTAAAGGGACGAGCGACTTCAGATGGTACATATAACCTAATGGACGTGTAAAATCAACAGCTGAGTACATCGTTTGATTATGAATAAAAATCAAAGATAAATGTGATTCTTTGACTCTTCTAAGAGATAACAATCTATAAAGAAACTTCAGTTTGGAAATTTTGGCTGTTCCGATGACATAAAATCACACCCACATTACATCCAGGTTATCATTCATCACAACCTACTTTACTAAATCCCGGTGTCTTTAAAGACCTTCAAATGTGCACTTAAGGGCAATCCTGGTTCAAGGTTTTTCGGCCTATTAAATTACCAATTACCAAAATAATTTTTATTCTACTACATATTTTTATCACTAGCTCGGATAAGGTGTTTTCTTAAAACCGTAAATAATTTTTCACCTGGTTTTCCAAGCCTTGGTTTCTTTTTTTTTTAAATAGAAATGCAAGATTTCAATGTAATGTATAGAGTTTCAACCTACTTCGATGGCTGGTGATGCATTGTTTAAGAAGTGCACACTAAGAATACCAAACTCAATGACACAATGCAGTTTTAAAAGTCTGTAAATTACCAACGTCAAGTTTGTTAGCATCTCATGTACTTTCGTGCTTTATTCGACTCGTTGTCTCGAATTTGTTTTCAAACGCACGAAAACTGTCATAATTATAAAATGTTTGAGTTTATTAATAAGTAAATTCATGAATATTTTCTCGACGCACATAAAAAGTATTAAGTGAATCTGATTTCGTTGATTTCTATTTCCTAAACTATAAAAATTTGTGGTAGATACACAGAACTGAATATTACTGCATACTAAAGACCAAGCTGAAATCATTCAAATAGTTAGTAGTTGTTTTGGCTATCTTTTGTTCCATTATTAGTCAATAACTATCATTTTTCTTCGTGACGGTGGGGTGTTGTGATAACAGTTTTATAAGAGAGCCATTTTTCCCGCAAAAAGGCAAAAAAAAAAAAAAAAGAACTAAAACTTCGAGAGAAGACAGAAATCGAAAAAAGTAAAGATGTTCGGTCTTTCATTTTTGTAAAAAATGCAAAATTAATTCGAGTAGCTGTATTTTGTTTCAGGTAAAGCAAGCGGAACATTGTTTGAAATGCTGTCGGAGTGTTCCTTTCAACTTTCTGTTTGCGGGTTTTCAGGCGTAAATTGCAATTTACCATGACAAAACTTCAAGCCATGTGTCAAAAATATATTGTATGTGCAAATCTTTAAAGTCTCTTGAAAATCATCAGCGAATGTTTCATCATCCTTTCTATTATTTTTTCTTCCGCTTAGGTTATCACCTACTCGTCAGCAACCAAAACTATATTTCTTCCATATAAAAAATAAACTTGCCATTTAGCAATGCGATATCGTGTACATGTCCTACAATGCCTTAACACTGAGGAGAGTAGAGTTTCCCTATTGAGGAATATAACACTGCCACATTAACCCGTGATATCGGCATACATGTCGAGGGCATGTCCAGTTGAATAAACATCCTTAAATGCAAAAAGTTTCTTGTTGAATTTTACGCCATGTCATACAGCAAATGCGAATAGTGATGAGTCGTTTAATCGACCAGGGCAGTCCATTAGGCCGCCCTCCTTTAAATTAAGCTGTCAAAAATGCTTGGCGATAATTGTTGAAAAACAAATTTTGGGGCCGATAAACGGAATAAACCACTATATTTAGTCCGATTTCCCAGCAAGACCGAAAGGCGAAACTGTAAAATACCCAAGAAATAAATAAAAGATGGATTTTAATAATGGAAATGTCACATGTCACGTCATTTTTACCCATATTTCGGTTGCCGCAAAGTTTGCTTAGAAATCGGACTATTTGGTATAATACTCAATAAAACGGGAACAACGAGATCAGTTTCTTTTTGAAAGAACCGCGTTTCATTTTAGCGAGCTTGAAATTCGCAAAAGGTTCCGCTAACGAAAAAGACGAATTTGTACATTGCAAACATTCAATCTATAACGGGCGATAAAGGCATGTTACCTGCCGCTGCCTAATTTATAAGAAAATGATTAAATGAACTTTTACGTGAAACATTCGATTTACATTCTCCGCTTTATTAACAAACTGCAACTGAACCAACGAAAAGGTAAGGAAATTGATTCAGTTCGCTTCCAGCAAAACTTTGCGGTATCTTTAGGGTGATCCAAGAGAGGCAGGAAACCAATACAGAGAACAATTTCTTTTCGCTGCTGAATTTGAAACTGAAATTAAACTATCATAGGCCCTTGTCAGCATACATGGTTTATATTTAAATGCGTGCAAATAGATAGATCTTCCTACGCGAGCAAAGGGGGCGGATAAATCAAAACAGTTGAACGCCGACAAAACTTTACTAAATCTCTAATCACTGTTTCATGGCCACATACAGTGCCTGGGGATTCATAATCATAAATTGCTGGATGAAAATAATATAGGTACCTTTGCATACGACTGTTTCGTCTTTTGAAATTATATTTGCTTAAACTGTTTGCATAAGATGTAAAATGAGAGGGCAGTGTCACTCGCAAGGCCAGCTGTCCTGTGCAATAATTGAGGCTCTACTATAGGACTTAAGCAAGCATGCTTTTGACGTAAATCACAAAATTAAACTTGTTTGCTTCTTCAACTACGTCTTCCCTTAGATTACAGCTTTGAGTACTTTGACCCAAGGAAGAACAGTTTTTATATTATACCACAACAGCTTGCAAATTCAGCCCGTAAAGTGGGCTCGCGCGCAAACAACCACTTCTTTTGACTCTTTTAAACTCGGGAAAATGTTTACGCTTTAAGTTTGAAGATGTCTTGTGTGACGATGTTTTTGACGAGATAACATTTATTTTAAAAAATTCAAAACAGCAACTTCCTGTACAGGAGTCGAATACATTTGTTGGATTTGCATTTTCGCGTTAAAAGAACACGACCTGACATCTGTTTTATATTTCACATTTATTACTTGTGTTTTGTTATCGCCGTGAATTTTGATAATTCCAGCGGAAAAGAAAACCTCTCTTTCTTTATCTCATCGTTAATGAAAGCACAATGGTTATCTTTTGCTTTAGACTAGCCCGACGAAACTGAAAAAAAAGCGGTTTACTGCGATTTCCTGTGGACAGAAACATAGCTTCTATTGAATCAGCTTTCTACATTGAAACTGACATTATGCTGCTATTTTGGATTCCGTTTCCCAGGTCCACGAGGAGAAGAAATGGAAAGAATAGTCGTCATGCCATAAATAACAGACGAAAACTGAATACAGCGCTTTGTCAGGCAAATAAATATCTCTTCTACGTTGGAAGTTGTCCAATTCCGCCGATTGTCTTTCACAATCTTCGAATTGCGAAAAGCTAGCGTGGTTGTTGACAATAAAAAGGGAAAGCACAACTTTTCCTGTCGAAACAATTCTGCCCTTTTGCAAGGATAATCAGTTGGAACAAACTAGAACTGAATAATTTTTTTTTTTCTCAGAAGGTTTCAATTTAAATTTCTTGTATAATCAAGTTAAATATGCCGAAGTCAGTTTAAAGTGCCGGGGCAATATACTAGTTTCGCACGTTTTCGCGAGGTGGATAACAATAACAATAAATGATTGGATCACGTTGCTAAGATGCCGTTATCGTTCACCCAAGCTACCAGCCTAATATCATTCGACAAAACCTCTTTCCTCAATATCTCGAGGAAATGCGTAATTACGGTTTTACAAGCAAGGGTTTTCGCTGGTTTCTATGTTACAATATGCTCTCATATTCATCGATTTGCAAATGCTAATGAAAAAGTAACCCATTGATTATTCAACAAGCTTAACAAAGATCAAAGAAAATTTACTGTTCAAAGTTTTCTCAGTACACAGGGTTGTTCTCAAAGGGGCAATGGCCATCGGCAAGTAAAAAGGAATCGTTAAATTGAATTTATTTTTTCGCCAATAATTGTATCGGCGTCAGAAAACCTCAAAATTCGCTAATCATATCAACATTACGTCTGGCAAGGCCGCGCTCATTTGACAGTCGAATAAATTGAAGCAATGGCACCACTTGTAATGTACATGTCTTTTTTCTGGCTTAAAAAATATTTTGCCGATACTTAGCGTCAGATGGCACGTAAAAATAGTAGTTCTGAAAATCGTGAACTGTTTTCTCACGGTTGTCTCCTTCGCGAGAGCGCGCCAAAACCGCCTTCACTCGCTCGATAACAGGTGGTTGAGAATAAGGAGAAAATTTTCATCCACGCTTGCTGTATCGATGTTCTTTTCTTCGACGCTGGTGGATTTATCCTTCTCATTCATTATTTATGAATATAGGCTCGAGACAACTTATCCATTAGTTTATTTTTGTTATCCAGTCATCTTCAGGCAAAAAGCACGCGCATCGCCAGAAAGACAAACTTGCTAAACGAACTTTGCATAAAGTTATTTTTTTCCTCAGAATTTGCTATCGTTCCGCCGCTAAACAAACGCTTCGTTTAGCTCTAGCGATTTCTTATATTTCAGTTTATACAGATGTATAAATCAATCAGAATGCACATCTATCCTTAATGTTTTTATTTCAATAAATGGTTTATTTCCTAAGGAATATCAAAATTAACATGTATCGCAGAGTTAAAGAAATGTTCAACGCCAACGCTACAAATTTGCTTGAGAGCTTTTTCGGTTAATGACACTTTTGATGTGTCGCCAAAAGAGATCTAGCCGCATTCATTAAAGCAGTTCAGTAGACAAAACGACAAGGTAAAATTGAAATCTTGTTTAATTTTTGACCGTGGAAGCGCCTGAACAAAAACAGTGATCTGGAGGCAATTTATTTAGAGAGTTAGTGTTACTCGCTATAGTGCTTATTTAAGCGACTCTTTTCGCCGCGCGAAATTCAGTCGAGTAGCTCCTACTAGCTTAGATCCGCTGATATGAATCTTTTCTCTATCGAGAATAACTGTCTAATTATACTGAATCCCCTTCTTCGGATGCCGAGTTCGCTTCTTGGATCACTATTTGTGGAGTTGTACCGTTGTAGTATTTGCTCTGGAAAAATGTCACGACAGAAACGTCTTCGTCTCCCGAGGACGATCTGTGAGTGTAGCTGTCCCGTCCGCAGATTGTGCAGACGCGGATAAAAATGTCCTTGAAAGCGGAACGGAAGTCACTGTTAAAGCTCGAGTAGATGATGGGATTGACAGCCGAGTTCAACAGTGGTAAAACATAAACGAATACGATCGCGACAAATTGTGTTGCGGTGGGATGAATTTTATGCAAGCAGAGATCGCAAAACTGAACGACGAACATTATGATGAAGAACGGAAGCCAACACACGATGAAAGTCCCTATAACAATCGCCAGGGTCTTGGTGGCTTTCAGCTCGCGCACGATCGATTTTCGTCGTTTACGTTCGACCCGTCCGATGCTGATGACGCTGGGCCGTGGATCGGGGCTAAAGTCGGCATCAGATGTTTCAGCAGGCTCCATCGAACTCGCTGATTTCAACTGCTGCAGCTTCTTCGCCTGAGTGAAGGCGACTTTGAAGACCATAGAATAGTTGATGACGAGAATGATTAAAGGCAGGAAAAAGCCTGCGGTTATAGCAAACGTGTAATAGTAACGGTCAGTTTTCTTGCATTCTCCACTAGCGCTTGTGGACGCGTCCGCAGACCAGTTCATGAAGGAGAGAGATGCTAACAGTCCGGAATATCCCCAGACGAACGCAATGGCAGCTATTGCTCTAGCCTTCGTCATGATGCTTCTATAGCTCAAAGGGAAGGTCAGAGCGAGGAACCGGTCGATCGAGATAAGACTGAGGTTTGTTATTGAAGCGCAAGAACACAGCAGGTCCACGAAGACCCAAAATTCGCAGATCGTTTCCCCGAGATCCCAGCACAGCGACTTGAGAGTGTGGTGAATGCGAAACGACATTGAAAGCGCGGCGATAAGGAGATCTGATACTGCCAACGAGATGATGAAGTAGTTGGTAATTGTTCGAAGTCGTCTGTAACGAAGAATCGCGCCGATCACAAGGCAATTTCCGCAGACATCGAGAATCAGAATAAAAATGACGAAACTGGCTTGCGAGATCATGTTAGCCAGGCCGAATGTGGTGTTAGCGCCACCTCCACAACTGGAGCCGTTCATGTCGCCACTGGTTTGTTGTGGACTAATATGCTCTGCACGCTTGTACCTCCGTAGTTATCCTGGTGCGCTTTGTAACAACAATAAGAGACAATGCGTAAAAACACGCGTACGAAATGATTGTTGTCGCCAAGTGACGAAAAAAGCGCGTTGGCAGCGCTCTTAAAGACATGTCGAGGGGTGTGACATCTGCCTTGTGATTTGTCTGTTTTCTGAATGTCTATTAATTAGTCCGTATTTTGAATCTTGTATTCAAATCTTTATTTGGCAAGAAGTCCCTCCCTTCCCAATGAAAAAAGCGAGACCTTCGTTAATGAAAAAAAAAGTGTGTTAAAATGCTTTTGAAGTAGTTCAAATAATATGATTCGCCGCAGCTCAAATTTCGGATAACGAGCCGTCGAATGCTTAAGGTGCCATGTATTTTTGCATTTTTCCCCTAAACTAATGATCTTGTCGCTTGAGATAAAGCCTGACCAAAGTGTGTTGTGTTTATTACCTATCGCAATTTTAAATTAGCGAAGACAATGACAGATATTTGTTTGCGATCTGTTAGTGTGCGGAAGACTTTCAGCGAATAGAGGAACGATTTGTTTTCGTCTAAATCTTTCGCCCCGCTGTCTCTGAGGATGAGATAGGAGGAGTAAGAGGAAATGCGTTACAATTTCCAACATTCAGCGCAGCTTGAAACTGAAATATCGAATTCGCGGAAAACAAAACCACGGAGTTGATAATTGTAAAAACTACTGAAAAATATCAAGACGCGCGTGCTTACATCCTTGTACTGTTAGTTGGTTTTCAAGCTCGCAATCTAAAATTATAACGTGTTTTCTAACTGAGGAAGTTGTCGGCTTGTTGTAATATGTACTGTTTATTTTAATACGAATATGGCGTTTCATTACTAACTATATGTTATTCAAATATCGAGCGGAGAAAAGGGGTCAATATTTAGATTCATCGTCGGATCGTTATTTGCTCGGCACGCCGACCCACAACACAAGCTAACAACACGGGGAAAGCTAGAAAAACTTCCTTGAACCTTTCTTCACTTATTTACATAGTGCCGCGATCTGATTTAATTAATGCTGGACGGCAAAAATTCAGTATACATGGCGGACATTCCGCGATATTGGCTTTCGATCGCAAATAAATATAATCTTGCATATACTTCCTCTATTTCGCAAATAATTTACAATTATTTTTCTGGTCCTCGTAACTACGCTAAAGTTGCGTATTTCAACGAACGAAAATTAACTCAGTCGTTCTTACCTCAGCTAAAAGCTTGCCGTCGATTTCCTAATTTGTTTGTTGTTTTTGTCCCTTTTAAAAGGCGGGTATTTCTGTTTACTTTAGCTGGTATACTGGCATAAACTGGATTAAATATGAGTTGTAAAATTAAAAATGTGGGGATTATTCAATTTTACTCCAATCTGAACGGGGACAGTGTTTAAGAGACTTCTTGAAAGCAAGGACCACGAGACAGTTTTAAATAAGAGGACGATCGCACTGGGTTTTCATATGGGAATTAGGCAAAAAATAGGTCAAGAAAAAGATCAAAATTAAGATTTTTACTCCCATTGGTTATAATTCAGTTAACGACCTTCGCTTCATAAAAAGAGAATTAGGATCAAAATACCTTGATCATATTCGTGTAAATTTAAAAACCACCACGATCATTATTTTCAAAACGCCAGAAACGTGGAAAACAACCTCGCTACTTGCAGCGTCAAGTGAGGACCCCGAGAAATCAGTCGACGGCATGATCACTTCAGTCGACCCAAAACACTTTTTTTCGTTTTTCTCAAGCACGTAATTGCTCCTCGAAATACAACTGAAAAACCACCTGTTTTGCTCGTGTTTTGGGAAATGATTGAAGAACAAATCGACCACTTTGTTTCCAAGTGGGAGGCACGCGCAAATATTCTGCCACACTTTAATTGTGCTGAGAACAACTGGATAATTTTTCACAACCAGTCGGGTGTTTATGCCATCCCCTACAAAATTTCGCGATCAGTCGCCACGTCGCGTGTATGTGTTTATTTCTTCAAGAGCACTGCGACTAGATATCCAGACGGAACAAGAGCTGGCGCCTTTGTTATTAGACACCTGCCAATTTGGGGATGCGGCTTTTTCGGCGGTGAACAGCAAACAACTTCAAATAAAACTCAGAGAAAACATAATTAAGCTCTCTTTGGTGTTCTTAAGGAGCGAAAATTTAACCTTCTTATAATACCTTCCCTTCTAGTCAAAATGTGTGTTTGGATAAATTGTAACATATATGCTTGGTTTCGATTGCATGAGATACGCAGTAGGGATTTGCCGAGAAAATTCACAACCGAATCCTAGAATTGGCCTTAATTATTTCTAGGTTTGCGTGCCGCGCAATATAATCTATACATATTCACGCTGCCTCGCATAGCGGGAAACATGTTATGGTTACGAATTTTACTTCAAACTTCAATGATTTGAAAATTTGTAACAAATAGTGTATCCACACAACTTATGTCAGTGGGAAATAAGTAAATGCTGCGAGTAAAGCAACGATTTTTTGGAAGCAATGTAAGGTTTTCACTAACGGTATAACTCGAAAGCTAAAAAATACATTAGTTAGGAGCACTGGCTGAAAACTTAAAAAAGCGCCACTGAATAAACTGGTTTATTCATCTATAGATTGCAAGGAAGGGCTCCGTGAAACCAGAGACGTAAAGATACTTGTTCTGAAATAAGCCTAGTAAAAAACAAATTTAACCATTTGATTTTAACGGAATAAAAAATACAACGAAGAATGGGCTTACACAATATGTATGCAGTCAGTATAGAAAATGAAACACACAAAATTAACCATACTACAATAAACATACTAAAATAAATGTAAAATTTGACGCGTCTTTAATTTCTTTTGAATCTTTTGCAGAAAATAACCTGTCTCGTTTGTTAAGAGGAAGGTATATGGGAATCAAGTGTTGTCGATTCCAACAACACTGTAGTTCAGTTTTAATTTCTTTAATATTGTGATTTAGAACTCGTCAAAAGAGAGAAGTTAGGATAAGCTGTAGCTATTAGGTCACGGGTTTTTCGTTAAGTTGCGGTAAAACTATTTGCGCGTTTACACGCTCACTCATCAGCTATTTGCAGTTGTATGTACAAGAAATTACCACAAAAAAGTCTTTTCCCTTAGAACTTGGTGCATCAATATACCATAGTTGTGACTAGGGCACATCTTTAGTATTTATGTCAAACAAATCGAGTAAGCACAACGCCATTTATTCAAAACCAACCATAGCAGGTGGTCAGTTGCCTAATAAGACAAGATATACGCATGTGTTTGAGTGTCGCCAAAACAATGCACCGTACAAGACAGAAATAGAGCGGTAAAGTTGTGGATATGACCAACTAACAACTAGAATTCAGTTATACTGTAGTATACTAATGTAAATACTGCAATCTGGTTGGCTGAAAAAAGAAAAAAAGAAAAAGAATCTGATTGGCTGAGCCACGCTATCAGTACGGTGGCCCATAGGGGCAAAACACAACTCAATTTCTCTTCTGAAAAGCAACAATCTTTTAGAGAACACAACAATCTTTTAGAGAACACAACAATCTTTTAGAGAACACAACAATCTTTTCAAGAACACCACAATCTTTTTCAGAACACAACGAAATTTCCTGATACACAACAATCTTTTTTGAAACACAATAAAATTTTCTGATACACAAACGCAAACTAAAACACAACAAAATTAATTGAAACACAACAAAATTTCAAAGTACTGGTAACTAACCCTGATGCTGAAAGCGACCGGAACCTGAGACTTGCTCTGGTCAACGTCACTGAAAGGTGCCATTTTTGTGCCGTTCATGTGGTGGATTTGATCTGAAATGGCTNCTGATACACAAACGCAAACTAAAACACAACAAAATTAATTTAAACACAACAAAATTTCAAAGTACTGGTAACTAACCCTGATGCTGAAAGCGACCGGAACCTGGGACTAGCTCTGGTCAAAGTCACTGAAAGGCGCCATTTTTGTACCGTTCATGTGGTGGATTTGATCTGAAATGGCTTCTTCAGGTTCAATAAGCTATAATCCAGAGGAGGAAAGCATAATTTCATATTACTTTTCAAGAGGATGTACGTATGAAGTCATCACTGAATTTTTAGCTAAGTTTCATGGCATTACGATGTGTGTACAAACATTGAAAAATAGGTTGAAGCAATTAAACTTAAGGAGAAGATTGCCATCTTTTGATATGAACGTTGTCCGGAAACAAATCATGAATGAGCTTAGTGGCCCATGCTGCCAAGGTGGATATAGAGGTATGTGGCATACCCTACGACTAAAAAATATTCAAGTTCCTAGACATGTTATAGCTGACCTTATGAGGGAAATGGATTCAGAGGGATGTGAGCAGAGAAGGGCAAAAAGCCTTAAAGGAGAAGTTACTTCTCATCTGGTCCAAACTACACATGGGACGTCGACGGATACGACAAATTAAAACCTTATGGATTTCCAATACATGGGTGTATCGATGCCTGGAGTCGAAAAATAATGTGGCTAACAGTCACAAAGTCAAACAACCATCCAGAAATTATTGCCAATTTCNCCAGAGGAGGAAAGCATAATTTCATATTACTTTTCAAGAGGATATACGTATGAAGTCATCACTGAATTTTTAGCTAAGTTTTATGGCATTACGATGTATGTACGAACATTGAAAAATAGGTTGAAGCAATTGAACTTAAGGAGAAGATTGCCATCTATTGATATGGACGTTGTCCGGGAACAAATCATAAATGAGCTTAGTGGCCCAGGCTGCCAAGGTGGATATAGAAGTATGTGGCATATCCTACGACTAAAAAATATTCAAGTTCCTAGACATGTTGTAGCTGACCTTATGAGGGAAATGGATTCAGAAGGATGTGAGCAGAGAAGGGCAAAAAGCCTTAAAAGAAGAAGTTACTTCTCATCTGGTCCAAACTACACATGGCACGTCCACGGATACGACAAATTAAAACCTTATGGATTTCCAATACATGGGTGTATCGATGGCTGAAGTCGAAAAATAATTTGGCTAACAGTCACAAAGTCAAACAACCATCCAGAAATTATTGCCAATTTTTATTTGAACTGCGTGGCAGAGCTAGGAGGCTGTCCAGTGGAACTGAGGACTGACTGTGGAACATAAAATGGCGTGATGGCAGCGATGCAATGTACATTTCAAAAAGATGCAGAAGCGCACAAGCATGGGTCATCTCCGTCGAACCAAAGGATTGAGGGCTGGTGGACGTTTAACAGAAGAAACAGGTCTGGTTGGTGGATTAACTTCTTTAAAAGCCTTATGGAACAGGAAATCATTAACCCTGGAGATGAGATTCAAATGGCATGCCTCTGGTTCTGTTTTGCTCAGTTACTTCACGATGACCTAGACAAAGTTAAAGAACACTGGAACACACATTTAATAAGGGGCTCTAGGCATGACACTATCAGTGGGAGACCAGATGAACTATTCTTTCTCCCAGAGCTTCATCGAGGAGTAGATGGTCTACTTCACCCGATGTTGGATGATGAGATCCAATCTATGAGGGAGAACCTGACCTATGAAGAGGAGGAGAGCATCTACCAAGGGTACTTTGAATATGTACTGGAAAACACCGAGTTGCAGCTGCCCCACAG